TTAAAGGCACTATGATATTTATAAATACTGAATTTTACAAAGTGGTTAGCTTCTACTTTTCAGTAGCGTCCTAGTTTCTAACAAAAATGTTTATAATATCACATTTAAAAATCTATAAATAGTATATATTTTTTACATATTAAGGAGATCTTAGATATGACTTTGGTGGAGAATTCAAAGCTATGACCATTAGCATTTGATGTATGTCATCACCACCACAAAATATTGGTTGTCGACTAATGTCAACGTCCACCATCATCAGTGACTAACATTGGCAATCAACCAATATTGACTCTCGTCATCAACTTGATTTGACACCGGCCCTTATACCGACGTCTGCCATCATCCACACTCAAAAGTCATTATTGGATTATTGATGTTCAATGCCCGCCTTCATGGTTGCCGTTCTCCCCACCAATAAGGATAACTATCAAATAGACCACCAACCATAATCCAAAATCTAGTATCGCCGATCATTCTTCATTTGATGCCTATAGATGTTTGATGTATGCTCATAATTGACAGCTAATGTGTGCCTTCCCATCACACGGTCTCATCCCATATAAGGAGAGTGGTTGAGTCAACCACCCATTGCCCCAAGATAAATAAGGCGTTTCAAGACTTCTACTTTAATCATGAATGACATCTTCTATAGTTCATGTTTACTATAGTATATTAATCTTTCACTAATTATGAGGAATGACATTATTTTGTACTATATGATGTACCATAATGAAATTAGTTCAACCATACTAAACCTAGTAATTTTTCCTCTTAGAAATATCCCTATAAAAAACCTCATATCTTCTATGAGTTGCTCTTAATCTATATGTACGTGAGAAAATTTTTTATTTAGTGATAAGGCAATAAACTTCCTCATTTTCATGAATATTCGAGCTCATAATAATATGCATATATATGTATGAAGGTGTATGTTTATGTTGCATGCTCATGGATAGCTCATATTCAACTTAATAAAAAAATAATTAAAATACATATAGAATAATAATATTCTCTTATTTGGTTAGCTAGCATAGCCAACAACATTTAGGCTCACTTAAGCTCTGCTCATTCACATGCATAGGTCAAGCATGACCTTCCCTCATCATGCACAATATATAATCATACATGGAAGAGGAGGATGCTTAAGGGCATTGTGAGAAATGCATCGATGTACTCATTATTGTGTATATTAACCAAGAAAATTTCATAGAACTCAATTTTAATTGTTGTGAACTGAAAATGTCTCCTCTAAAAGAGACATATTTGATATAAAATTAGCAAATATCATTATTTTTTATAACCCCAAATTTAAGCAATAAACCTTCTATTAATCTGACATGAACTTTTGTGTTTTTAATTTTACGAGACTCATAAAATCTAAATCTAAAAAAATTATATCTTAAATTTATTCATCTGAGATATTATTAATGGTTACTGCCATTTATGGTACTAGGTAAGTGTTGGTCCTAGTAGGATGATGGGTAAGTGTAAGAAAAAAGTCATGCAATCACATTTTGATCATGAGAGGACATGTTTTACATTATTCATTATTAATAACTATGAGGAATATTCTAAGTTATTTAGATATACTCTAAAAAAATATCTCACTCAAAATCTATAATAGGCCTTAATTTTACTTATTTAAGGCGGAGTAGAATTTTTTAAGTATGTAGGAATCTAGTTTCTTTGATAAACTCAACAAGCAAACACCATCTAAGCATAGGATCTTTCATGCTTGAAGATTATTAAATCTTTGAGGAAATCCTATGATTAGCCATCATGGAGGCATAGAATCTTCCAAGTACGAAGGATTTTGAATTTTTAAATAAATATTCTAAGCATTAATCTTTCTCAAGACTAAAATCATAAAACCACTTATTTTACAATAGTCACACATTAGGCATGGAAAACAATACACTCTGACAATATGGGACATTACAAAGACTTAACCTTAACTTATGAGACAAACCCTTAAAGTTAAGATCAAGTTATGTAATTTTGTATTCCAATGAAAGTCATTAATACATCAAAACATGTAAACCTAATCCTGTAATCTTGAGATAAACGAAATAAAAATGTGTTAAATTAATGCGAATTCTAAAATCTATCATCAATGAAAACTAAAACATAAAACCAAAGAATAGATATTTAACTAGCACAACAAAAAACTAACAAAAACTAATACATCAAACCAACCTAAAGAAGTAGGGATGAAATAAATATCAAAACCAAAAATTGTCTACTTTGTATTGATTAATCTACTATGATGATAATCCTTTATTTAACCTGGCAAGATATATTAAAAATCACTTTGCCTCATCAAGTCACTCGAGATAAGTTCATCCCTTACTTAATAAGTTATCCAAAATAAGTTCAAACCTTCATGCAGCCCAAGACAAATTCAATCCTTTTTGATAAATAGCACAAAACATATTTAAGTCCTCAACAAATTACCCATGGCAAGTCAATGAAATAAGTTTAATCTTTTCAATTTTTCACTTTTGTGCTTCTTAGGAGACTCAACATAAAGCTTTATTTACTCACCATTCTATAAAGTCTACACTACCCTTTTCTATGGTCATATTAGTTTATATCCAAAGTTTGTATAGTAGCTATAACCATTATTTGACCAGGATAAGATATTTGATAAAATGGAGCTTCGATTCTAATGAAATCCCAAGAAATTTTGATATTTGTTTTCAAAAGATGCAACCATAAACCAAAAGCACCATTCATATTGATATATCATCAAAAATATATCTTGATCGAGCATGAATCTAGAGTCAAATTCGAATGGAAAACTTTCTATTTTAAATTCAGGGCCATTTGAACTCAAATTTCAACAGAGTTATAGTCAAACTGAACGTCTTGAAAAGACGAACCCAATGATACCAAATTTAACCTAATGTGAGACCAAATGGCTTTAAATCAACGACCCGAAGCACATTTGGAATGTTCAAACCACAAATTGATCAATCAAATGATCACCAAATGTGACATGTTTATGGTTGAATTGATCAGCTCGATAAGGGAATCCAACTAGCCTAAGATTGTCAAATTCTAACATCATTAAGACACTCAGCTCGAATACTTGATAAATGATCCATG